ACTGCTTTTTCTATCTGTATTTTTCAGTTCCCTCATGTTGATGCTATGTCATTTATATTGATTATTTTCTTTTCTCCTTTTCACTTCCTTCCCAGGAATGTGCACACCCTTTGGTGTATGTCTACTTTTTCTCGTACAGGCTTCTACAACTCCTTTGCCAGTTTCACTTGCAAGAGAACCATTTTTCCTGGCATGCGGGCTCAAGTGACTGGGCTAGTATGTAATGGTTTTAAAAAAAAAGAAATGTTACTTGGGCCAGGAAGCAGGAGCTTTCTTTGAACTCTGATAGGCCTTTCCATCAGTCTAGGTGATAAGTTGTGCAATAATCTTGGACTGCTTTTATCTTTACACAAGAATGCCGTAGTAAAAATGCAAAAAGATCCACATGCTCAGTTCACTGGTAAATATATGGAGAAGTCTGAACCTTTTTGGCAGTTGTTGAAGCTACTCAGCTGAACATATTTCTAGAGAACAATGTATTTTACAATTGTATTCATCTTCATTGCTGTGGGAGGCACAAATCAGTGACATCTTAAGCAACGAGTTAGTGATTATGTCAGAAGTTTTAGAACTTATTTACATTTAGTATGTACTTGCTACTTGCTTGGGTGCATGTATACTGTGTAAAACTGTCATGAAACGAAGGCAAATCATCATAAATAACACATTTTTTACCAGTTTGGGTACTATTTTCTGCAGCAAATCAATTTCAGAATATGAACCAATATCCACTGAATTTTCCACAATAATAGTATTGATAATAAAAGAGAACTTCATTGAAGAGAAAAGCAAATCAAGAGCATAAAAGTCTCATACAGTAAGAAACTGCAGAAATGGATCAAAGATTTGACAGGAAGTTTAATGTGTACATAAGTAGAGGCTGACAGGAACATGCTGTGTGTGTCAAAGGTTCCAGTGATGGAAAACTGAAACACAGTGCTCACTGACCACAGCATGAGCCTTGACACACATTGTAAATAACCCAAAGATATATGACTGCATTAAGCAGTAGACTGGTGTATTAACAGCAGTAAATCTAGAACAGCAGAAATGGTTGGCATATAGGACTTCCTCTGCTTAATATTTGTAACAGACTAATAAGAGTACTGCAGACGTTTCAAACTGTACTTCTTACAATGCTGTTAAGAGTTTTCTTTTCTCTTTCAGAGTCGTGTATGTGGATACTGGTCTTGCCACAATCAGGCTAAAAGCTGAAGACTCTTGTGGTCGACAGCATCTCATCACTCTGAAGTTAAATGCAAAGGTGAATTTATGTGGGAGACAGTATTTTAAGGCTTCCTTAAAATAAACAGATTTTCCTTAATTCATAAAGATTTTAGAGAGTTGGTTGGTTTGTTAGTGTATCTGTTCCGTAAGATAATGGTGGGGGATTTTTTGAGAAATTTTTTTATATAAAGTAGAGTTTTCAGACTTTAATTGTATTTAAAGTTAATATTGCATTATGGTTATCTGTAAGAACCTTTTCATATGAAACTGTGCATCACATGAAAAGCACTTTATGATACTGCAATTATTTTACTGGATTACAGACAAAGCCATCTAGGAGACTTTCATTCATTATCACTCCATCCAGGGACTATGCACATAACAAGAATTAGAGACGTTGGGTTGCTTCTTTAGCAAGTCTCACTGTTGAAGCTATAGATATAAAGATTCATGAAAAACTGACTACAGAAGTGAGTTCCTTATGTTAAAAAAGTTATTTCTTTTTAGTCTAAATAATTGGCTGATTTTGACAGTGTTTGCAAAGCAAATCCATGGCGTGTGTGGAAGGAGAAAAATTTTAATTCTTTCTGGTACTTAGAACTGAACTCAAATTGCAACATTTCTTCGTAGAATTTCTTATTTGAAGGCATGAATCTTTTATCAGAAATGATGAATATCCAGGCTGTGTGGTGACAATTGTATGGTAATAGCTGTTGTCTTCAGAAAATCAGTCTAGGGGAAAAAGTGGATCCAAAAGCATCTAAATGTCATTGTTTGGGACTATCCCTGGTCCATCGTCTGCAGTAATAATCTCGAAGGGATGAGGAGTGGACATGGTATTGTAAGATTAAATTTCACCTTCACAGACATCCTATATTCCTTTCAATATCAGGAGTTTTTTTAGTTTTACCAAAGGCAAGCTAATTTTACCTTAGAGGGGAAAAAGGAGCCTATGGAAAAAGTACTGTTTGGGAATTGAGGTTGCTAAAGTGGATTTTAAAAAAAAGAGTAAAGCTATCCTACATGCACGGAGTAATGAATGCATAATTAATTTGCTAGTCCATCCGTTATTAAATACATTGATGGAAAAAATATATCAGGAAGTACAATTACAGTCTATTTAATGTGCAAGGAGAGTAACCAGACTGTATTGTCATTGTTTATCAGGGGACGGCTATCCCATACTTGGTATGACACTACAAATTAAGTGCAGCCTGTTGCCCCTAAGTTTTTTCTTGATTTTATGGCAACTGAAGTATTTTAACTATTTGGAAGTAGAAAAGTGCAGAAAAAAACCTCCAGTACAATACCTATTTTTACCAAGCAGCTGCCGTGGTCAAACACTATTACACTTATGCATTGGCTGGTTCTGTTTAGCCTTAACTTATCACTGTACTGTAAGGGGAATCGAGATTACTGTTTTCTGTTCTTGTAAAAACTTGTGTATTTTCTTTATAGTAATAAAATATCTGAAGTTGAGACTCCTAGGAGCAGAAGAAAGCACCATCTAACAACTAAGGATATAGTGTAATAAAGACACTAGATTATCCAACTTGTCTGTTGTAACAAGTAATCATCAATCTTTTATTTCTTTTTCTTTTCAAGTGATTGTTATGATGAAGGATCAATTGATGTCCTTTTTAAACCATGTCTGGTATTTAAACTTGCCACAAGAGAAAATTTATACGTGAAACGTGGTTTGGTGACAAGGGGATTTGATTTTCCTTCATATACATATCTTATACATTTGAAAAGACTTGGCTGAAGTATTGTTTGAAGGGATTTCTTTTGATAACATGTTTTAATAAAAGTATGCTTATTTTTGTTATGCTGTTTCTTTGATTAAGGTTAGTATGCGAGCTAAACCTCTCCTCCCCAGCATACATTGCTGGCTCTTGTCTGTATTCTGGCAGATGGGTTTGTTCAGCCTCATCCCCATGGATGCCATACAGTGAAATGAGTTTATAAGCCTGCTGACAATGTTTTCAGGAAGAAACTCTTCAATAAGTGATTTAGGAAATTCTTTTTCATAAGGTTATCATGTGTATTGAGATAATCCCCTAAATATTCCCTTGCTGTCATTCTTAAGAGTTTGGATGTGTTTTGAGCGCTTTTTCTTAACATGTTGTCAAATGTTTCCACCTGTTGTCCTTGTCTTAATGTGCTTTGTGTTAGGAACTGTCCTTTCAAAACACTTGCTCTCTATAAACTGCATTTGTAAAGTGTCTAGGAAACTTGGGGCGATCAACTTAAACCTGGAAGAACTGAGAATGGTCGTATGATAGTTAGGTATGCTAGCCAACTCATGTGCTACACAATTTTGACTTTTGTAAATGATTAGGCTTAAACCTCAGAAGAGGATATATTGTTTAATGCTCAGATTACATTTTGCGAAATACTTTTCCGATTTACTTGGTTGAAAATGCCTGGTCCAGAAATCTTTAGCCATTCGCAATTTAAATAAATTACTAGAGAGTTTTTCTGAAAGCAAAGCATGCATCTTTGCAAGTATAAAACCAAATACGTTGGCTTTTATTTATCAGATTTCATTTTGTATTCCATGAGAAGTGGGTTGGGTGCCTGCCATTTCAGATCCCAAGAATTCAAATAGGCCACTGCAAGGATTTGCATGCCATGTAGTAATGCAAGATGCTTTGGTAATTATCTGAAGGGTTTGGCAAGGGTTCTGAAAATACTTTTCCTAGATAAAGTTAGCTGCATGCTCAAAAATACAATCTAAATATTTTGGTTAATAATTGCTTAAATTGTTTGAAGGAATAATAGGATGATTTCTGACATATATATTTGAATGTAACTGTAATAACGTGTGATGTCATTGATATGCTCTGGTATAGTACTGTAAAATACTGTCTCCTGGCGAATCACTTGCCTTATTTTATATTGGATTTCACTCTGCAAGGTCTCAGAACATAATGTACATATGTACAGAATCATTGTTGCATAGTTCTTGGCAATTATCTGGTGCACAGTACAATATTGTGCTCTTAAAGAAATTTTGACTAAAAATGCAGGGAAAGAATGCTGTAGGTTTTTTGGTTTGGGGTTTTTTTAAGTAATATAAAGTTAGAATCTGGTTTGCAAGCGCTTGTTCAAAGGCACCCTACAAAAGACTGCATAAAATGAATTTACTTACCAAGAAAGTAAACACGTAATTGGCTAGTGTTTCTGGGATTTAAATGAGGTAGCCCTAAAACCAATCCTACGGAAAAATTGTTCTGCCTTAGTTTGTTCTAGGCATACTTTTATACATTGAAAACAAGTTTATTTCTATGCAAGCATTGAAATATTTCATGAAAAATAATACCTACAATACAAGAACAGTAACGCTACAATAAAAGAAACTGTAACAGCTTTTGTGGATATACATTTCTAAATTATAACTGCCTCCTGTCCAAATTAGTTGTTTCACTTCTCTTGCTCTGTCACTCTTATTTAACTTGTCTGCTGCCAATTTGATAAAATGGTAAAGCACAAGATATTCAAGTTGTAGGAGTTGTCTTCAGAAAGTGCATACCTAACAGAAACCACAAATGCAGGCAAATTAAAAAAGCAAGTTTAAGCAAATTTCTGTGATACCCATAAATCCACAATGATTATTAAAATCAAAGCAATGAAGAAAGGCTGCTCTAGGGAAGCTATGTCTCTTTTTTGCTCTCTGCCATAGAGAACAATTGGAAACCAATTACTGTAGAATTACATTTTACATAAATTAAAGACACATTTTTAAAATTCCGATAAATTGATTGCCCAATGTCTGATAAGTAAGGACGGTGTCTATGTCTGGAGGTTTACTTTGGATGGAGAATGGTTATGGGAAGCAGCATAGCTGAACTTTGCCTCTTTGTCTTAACTCTCTTTAATTCTGTGAGGAAGCTGGGACTTTTTTTTGCTATGTCTCCCCAGATAAGACTCTCTGTAGCATTTTCTTGTGTTGGCAGTTGATGCAATACTAACACAATTTCTAGAAAATTCTGCGTACATCATTGGTAGAATTTGAAAGGTTGCATAGGACTAAGGGAAGCAACTTCTGAGGTGAAGTTCTGGATAGGTGCTCTTGGAAAGGACACAGTTTATTTGTAATTAGATGTTTCTTTCCTTTGCTACTTTATTTGTCAGAGAATACCATTTTTTCCCCACAGATTTCATACTGGATACTGAACAGCAATAGATTTACTAGTGTAATGACTATTGAGTGGTTATTTTTGGAGTTATCAAGCCTTTTATAGCTTCAGTTTTCTTAATACAGCTATTTTTTCTTTTCCTCATTGATACCTTTTAATCTGGGGCAGGGGGTGGGGATTTGTTTTAATTTGGGGTGTATGTTCATTCATCTCTTTCTAACTAGCTATGTACTTACTCTGATTACTTTCAGTTTCAAAACAAAAAATGTTGCCAATCACAGCAAATATCTAGTTTAAATGAGAATTAGTTCTCAAGTCATGAAAGGGTTGTCTTTTTTTTTTTTTTTTTAACTTTCCTATGTGGTACAGGTAATTGAGGAGAAATTTTTTTTAATTATTTGGTGATTTTTGTCTCAAGTTCTTTTTTAATGTGTCTGTGAAAACTGTAATTCTTCTGCCTTTACTAAAAACTGATATATAAAAACTGTTTACATGTAGATTTCTTCTTTAAATGGTAATTAACATTCATAACTATTTCTGAAAATGCTTTACATACTGTTTCCTGTTAGAGCCAAGTTCTCAAGATGCTTGAAGTGCTCATATTTTGTTATCAAATTTGGCAGCTGAGTATCAGTCTGACTTTAAATCACTTAAAAAGAAAAGAAAAACTGTATTTTCTTTCCCTCCTTCAGTATCCAACAGAACCACCAGATTGCCTTGTGGATTTTCCTGTTCAGTTTGCTGTTTCTTGGATGCCACAGGTAAACTGCTGCGCTATGCATCTTTTTTAATAACTGAGACACATATACAATATGTAGGTGATAATGGGGGATTGGACTTTGTTTTGGTTAAGCTGGCTCAGAGGAGACAGCTTCCTTCCCTGTGTGCATTTTACTTTTATACGTGCTGATGTAAATGTAATAATGCTGAACTCCATATTCCTTATGATAGTGTTTTAAATATTTTCCTTGCTATATGGATATACCTTGCATGTGGTATGCTTTGCACTCACACTGGCTGTTTTTTTCTTAAGCTGTTCATACTGCTGAAATATCTTTAGAAACGATACTGTGAAAATATATTCATGAGAAACGTTTGTCTTATAGGAAAGAAGCACCCTCTAAAGTTGACAGACATTAAAAAAAAAGGCAGTGCCCCAGTTTGTTATCCTATATAGTTTACATAACATAATAAAACTTTTTCAGTTACAATCAAAAGAACAACAGGAAAGTACTTAATAGAATTCTGATTTCATAATTTAACTGATATTGTTAATATAAAGAACCAAGAGCCGTTGTCTCTTTTTAGTCTCTCTTGCATTATTTCATGTATCTTTTTTCCTTAATGGAGCATGTGTACTTGATTAAATGGATTTAAATGTGACCACTTAGATGTAAGTTAATTTAAATTATCTCCAGAAAATAGTTGATGTTTAATTTCATTGAATTCAGGAAAATAGATTTTACATAAATGGTTGCATTTCATAAATCTAACTCTCGTGAGGATTCTACCCATCAATAAAGCCTGTCTTTATGGTACTAAATTTACATAGAGAACATGGCTGAAAGGTTGCATCAGAGTGATTTTAAGATGGGCATATAATTTTGACTGCAAAGCTCAAGGTTCTATGTGTCACCTCAGATCCTCTCATATGAGAGCTTGAGGAAATGACTGCAAGAATGGGCCACTGCAAATGAAAAATATATTTAGTTTCACAGGTAGTTTTAGGTTTTGATTCTCTGGTATGGTGTGCAACAATTTAAACTGATACTGTTTTTCCCTTAAATTATACTGGATTCCATATACTACAGGCAGGATTTCAAGTACTGTTTCTCACCTCAAACTTTACACATACCTTTAACAGTATTTCATTAATTGTACAGCCTTGCAATTTATGTTGCCTCAAATTAACAACATTTCAAATATCCTTGACAGTCATTGCTTCTCTGTGTTTACAGTTAGAAATTTTAAAGCTACTAGCTGGACTTACATTTTAATAAAATGTTCTTGAAAAACATGATATGAAGCAGCCTTCTTTGACAAGTTAAAGATGGGAGCAAATATATTAATATTTGTATAAATAAAGTAAAAATCTAATGTTAAAAATGTGACATTCTAATGCTCAAGATCTTAAAATCTTTTAACAGTTAGAATTACCTAGGGACTCTTTGAAAACAATAGATGTCTGTATGTCACTGAAGACCCTGTTTTGAAATCATGAGATACAAATTCTAGCTGCAGATAGCCTGCTGTAACACTGAACCAAATACCAGCAACCTGTGCATTGTGCTGATAGAAATGCTTTAGGTGTGCAGTCTTTTTTGAAAATTGGCCTTGTCTGTGTGGGTGACATGAACCTAACACTTCTGGGGAAAAAAATATGTGTGGTAATTGTGTAAATTGTATTTATTTTCAAAATGCATGGAAGTCGTTGCAGTGAGCAGTCTTCACGCCATGGTAAATTAAGGGTTAAGCTTAGATAGTGCTGAAACACCACTGGTAGCAGATATTAGCAGGTCCTCAAGTCATTGAAAATTTTGGTTCCTAAGAGGGAAAAAGAACACGCTGTACCTATTTTGTAGTAAAATAACATGAATCTTTGATACTGAAAGGTCTCAAATTTTAATATATGTTGGTCATCTTTAATGTAAAAACTGACAAGGCTTAACTAAAATCATGCAATTGTACTATTAGAATATAAACTCCTATGAAAGAAAATACAGATTTCAGGTAATTGATTTTTGGTTTTTTCCACCCCCCCTGTGCTGTTGCCTATTTCGGGTTCTTTCCAGTGCTCATGGACTTTAAACTTGAGGGGTTGTTGGGTGGCTGGGTTTTTTCTTCCCTTTCCCCCCACCCCCCCCTCCGTATAATAATAGACATGGCTTTATGGCATCCATATTAAAAATGGGTAATTTTCCTTATGGTCCCTGTCTTCCTGCTGGGTTGATAATGTTTTGATGTATTTTTCTTTTGCTCTGATGAGAGGTCTGCTGCTGCTGCTCTGACATATTCATTTGGATGAATAATTATAACTTACACAATGTCAAGCTGAAGATGGTAGGGTTTTGTGCGTCATGACAAGCCTAGTAGCCAGTGCAGGTGTCTCACAGCATGATCAGCAACAGCCAGTGTATTCTGGCTCAGAGGAGACATTTTAGAGTAGTAAGAAATCAGCACCAAGGGCAATGCTGCTGCTGCTGCTACTGTTATAAGTGCCAAATAAATGCAGAGTGCTTCTCAATGACAAGTGCAAGAACATCTACTTATTTCAGTTATATTCTTTTTCTAAATAACCAGATAAATGTGCTGTCTCCACATTTTCGCATACGCTGTAAGCACTGTTCTGCAGTTTCGGTGCATCTATATTCTGCTGCCCTCACATCAGGGTATTGTTTCTATACTGACCACTGCCCACCTGGTTGGCTACATGAAGGTCATGAGAGTGGAAATTGATGACTAATGAGGTCATGCAGCCAGCCAACAATGAAACAGTAATACAAGATTCACAAGGTAGAGTGCTATGAATGAGATTATTCTTCGCTTGTTTTGATGAAAACACAGGGAAATGCATCATAATTGTGCTTTTTTCTTAGCAAAGGAGCTTCACAGACACCAGCTTTTTATGCATCTATAAATACAAAAAATGGAGATGGTTGACAAGGCACTTTGTAAAGATTTCAGAGCGTGGGGTCTCAGTTTGATTTGTGCTAAGGTGGAGGAAAATTGTTAAACTACTGTTTGTGAGAAAGAAAGAGTTTCCAAACAAATCTAAAGAATCATAAATTATTTAGGTGATACAGGTGATCCCTTCTCCATCCAACAACTGTTCGCTTTATTAAATTCTACTCGATCTATGAATTGTTGAAGGGCAAGCAGGTAACAGCACCTATAGTTCAGGCTACCTTTCCCATTAGGAGGCTGTGCCCTTGTTTTAAGCTTGGATAAGCAAATTTTGTGTTAGGAAGAATTTTAGCAAAAAAAAATCTCAGAATAAAGATCACATTTTAATCTGTTTTGAAAAATAAATTTGAATAACTTGTGCTGTATTTACCTTAATTTGAACATTCTTACTACCATCTGATTAATGTTTAGTTCATCCAGGCTTTGGAGCAGGTGTTTGAGATTTGGCAGACTAGCCATATAGGCGTCTGGCACTTCTTAAAAGTTACTGAAAGGCTTCATGGATTTTATGGCAGGTGCAGACTCAAGACGACTTCTTTATACTTCCCAGCCTCTATGGCTCTAGAAATAAGAGCAGAGTGACTTTTTTTTCCATTCCTTCTTATTCCTTTCATTGAAGGAAATGGTGTATGGGCAATGGGGGTACACTTGGGAAAGTGTTTGAATTGGAATACAGTAAAAAAAGAAGGAAAAAAATTAGCATGAGGAGCTACCAGTGGTGAGATGGAGATGAGAGTGCAGACGGTAGAAACGGAAACAAAAATGTTGCAAAACTACACAAGGCTCTTTCCTGGTAGAAGAGCAGGTATGTTCACTTGGAAACAGATAGGTCCAGAATATCCGATTTCCACTGACCAAAGTAAGTGCTTTGTCTCCTACCAGTTGTTGAAATGAATGGAGGATACCTATAGTCTGGTAGCACAAAGGTGACGTTTGGGTCAAAGTTTTCTAAAACTGCTGGGGAATCATCGAAGTTTTTATGTTTAAAGTGATGAGGTGTCCTGGGACTGTAAGGCTTCGGCAGGGCCTCGGGGCTGTAATGAGAGGGAGCCAGCTCCAGCTGCCGATTTGGTGTGAATTCACCAAATGTTGGTGGGTCCTTCAGCCAGCCCTAGCTCTGGGTGCCTTGCACAGCTACCGGAGTGTAGATAACGAGAGTTGTTAGTCGCATCTCCTCTCACGCTGCTTCACTAGTCTAAACCCGTAAAACTTTTTTGACCTTGTCTAATGGTGGATTCTCCGTTCCTCACCTTAGAAACTCCTTTGTCCCAGCTGCGGTGGGTTTACTTGAGAAGTGTGGGCAGAATCACGCGCTTGGACCATGCCCTCGCTAGTGCCTTCTGCACCCGCCTTCCTAGCGCCCGGCCAGCCTAGGGATCCGGGAGCACAGCTGCAGAGGGATCGCTTTCCAGCCAGCACAACAGAGGTCAGCGATCCCACAGGGGGCGAAAAAAAAGTATAGTAGTTACGTGATCAAGTTAGAAAAGACTGCGATAGCCGCTTGCGCAAAAAAATGCGTTTTGTGACTATTTCCTTACCTCTGCTACCTTGTCATTAGTACTTGTACAAGCAGCTGATGTCCGTACCCTCAGTAGTTAGAAATAAAATGCAAGGCTTACATTATACATGAAAAATACCTTCATTTTGTTTGAAGTTGTTGTGAAAGATTGCACTGCCATAATGGTCTTTATTTTTATAATGGCTGTTTTGCCTGCTGAGCGTGGAAACCTATCAGCTACAGGGGACGGAGGAACCAGTTTGGTTTTGCTGGTGGTTTTTAGAGGCCGGGCGACCAGTGATGATACCCTGAATTATGCATGTCTTGTTTTCCAAAGAATATTTGACATATTTCACACAAATTGTAATGCATTTGTACAAAGGTGGCCAAGAAACAAAGAGTTTGTGCTGTTTGATGACGACTACCTTGGTGTAGTGTAGACCAAAAAAAAAAGCATGAAAGCAGTCTTTTCTAAAAGTGTTGGGCAATGACCAAAAATTAGTCGGTTAATCAAATAAAAAGGAATCTCATAGTTTTCATGGTTTGCATGACAAGCATGTGATGTATTTAAATAGCTATAGATGCGTTTATGTATATAGCAGGAGACAGCTGGCAACATCAATGAAGCATGCAAATAAGATCAAATGAACACTGCATTAAAAAAAAAAAAGATTTAACTACCTTTTTAAGGAACATCATTGAAAAATTACAATTAGTATTAAAATTAATTGGATTTTAAAACTTATCTGTGGGTTATAATCCCTTGATGTTTCTTTTTTCTAGTGAAACCCTTTGAATTCCCGGAAGATAAAGATAAAAATGATTATTAGAGGATTTATCTGTATGTGATATAGAAAAATGTAAAAAATCAAAATGGAAAGCAACTGTTGCAAGTACCAGAAAATTATGCTATTAATTTAAGTGTCATCAGAGCACAAAAGATCACATTTCAGGACTGTGTGAAAATTATTAAAATACTGGAAATAATAGTACTTAAGATGAAGATATTATACTCTAAGATGTGGTTAAGTGACTGACACTGTTATATCACTTCAGGTATTATAAAAGTAACAAAATGCTTTTAAAGATAATAAGCGTTACATTTTGAGATTGGCAGTATTCACACTTTTCTGCTTAAGTGCTTTCCTACTTTAATATAATTTAATAACAGCGGGGAAAAAATGTAGCATTTTATTTCTAAGCTACACCGTTTCTAAAATATGTATGCATAAAATATAAAAACTTCTGACATATAAAAATCATATTTCTTCATCTGAGAATGTTCATATAATTTGCTTCTTTTTGTCCAGGTGTGAAAGGAAGAACATAATTACTAAAGATTAAAGGAAACCATTCCCTGTAGATTTTGTGTTATTTATAGAAAAATACCTCTTTAAGGACTGAACATTGAATTTGCTTTTTCTTTTTGACCCCAAGAACTTGTTCCCAGGCCAAAAGAGAGCGGAAATCTGGCCCTCATTACATGTTTTTTGTTTTTTCAAGACTTACTTTACCCTCTCTTTATCCAAATTGAAGAAGTCTTGTTAGTTCTCCCCTATCCTTCCTGCTTTTTACTCCTGCTTTTAATTGTGTCTGTTGTGTTCCGTGTAAATGATTTCAAGATACCCTGATACCCTTTGGCGCTCCCAAATGATTCCTCTCTTTCTACTCTTGAGTTTCCCGCTACTAAACAGTTAGAGAATATGAGTTATCTGGGAAGAGCCTATCTCCAAAATGCTTCCCCCACCCTTGATCTCCCTTTGCCACCGCCTTTGTCCAGTTTCTTGGCACCTTCGCTTTTTCCCTGTTGCGGCGTCACCTCTCCCCACGAAGCCGCCTTCGTGCTCCTGCATCCATCCGGGACGCTTCCCGGTTCCTCCACTGATTCCATCCGACATCAGGCTCAAAACTCATATGGGCTGTTACTCCAAACAACTCCTCTCCTCCCTCCTCCTGCGCTCTTCACCTCCCTAAGTTCCCCTTTTGTACCTCCTGGGCACCTGCATTTGGGAAGGCGTTGGCTTGGCTGCCCAGTGATTTCGCTACTTGAAGCAGCCTTTCCCTGGAGAAACAGTTACTTTTGTGCTCACCGATGATTTTCGAAAGACTTCTTTTGCATTGCTTTTCTGTGTATTGTCCCATATAACGAAAGGTTTTTCTGATTCCATCTAATCCACTCGCAAATACTGAAATCCCTTGAGTGTAATCCTCTGATTATTAGGCGGTTTCTCCTTCTCTTACTGTATTTACAGGGATTCAAATCTAATGTTAAGTACCTGGTTTTATACTGCTTAATTTCGAGATAATTATGACATTGCTAGGCTATTATTTCTTAGAGTCTTTAAAAAAATAAGCAAGCTACTGTAGTTACGTGGGTATTTCTGTGTATTTGTATTTGGTACCACTGCTGTGTTGCTCAGCTGAAGCAGAGACAAAATACCAAAGCATTAGAAGTTTACTAATAGATAATGATGATTTTTACTTTAATTTTACAGCTGTTTGTTACAAATTACAATGAAAATCAATAGTTGCTACCAGTTTTCAGAAAAGTTCTCTGAAAAGGAGTCTAACACACTATCAAATCTGGGTCTCATGTACGTATATCACAATGTCTGAGGACTACCAGGATTCGAGAACTTTTTTGTACGCAGGATACAGCCATTTACTTGTGTTGTTTCAACTAAAAAACCTGTGAGGGTCAACGTTTTATGCTACCGTGATACAATTGGCTACGTACTAGATTTTAACACTTCTTAAATTACCAACAGTTTGGTTTTTAAATATCCTATTTGACTGCAGGTGGAAAATATATAAATTTTGTTTAAATTTCTTCTTTTCTTAGAACTCCTTAATAGACATTTATAATCAGTTCCTGGCGGCATTAGAATCGCTGAAAGAATTCTGGGATGCCATGGATGAAATCGATGGGAAGACGTGGGTGCTCGAGCCAGAAAATCCCACACGGAGCGCTACGGCAAGAAGAATTGCAATAGGTATGAAAAGATTTGAAGGAATACGGTGGGTTTGAGAAGTAAAACTCGGGGTGCTGTTTTGCTTTGGTTATCTAATCAGACGGTGCTTGTTAGAGTTAGGAAAATGAAAGGTGGCACTTAAAACCAGCAAGACGCAACGCTCTTATTTTGTGTGTTAAAAAAAAAATAACTTTCCCCAGAATAGCGAGCCTGTTTAGGAAATGAATTGCAACTTTATGGGGTTACATAAAATGAAAATTTCGGCAGGAAAATACTGTGTATTTGTAAATTATGAACATGTAACTGTCAAAAACTGAGGACTTGCATGATAACTCTAGAAAAATCAGTATTTGTAAAAAAATCAGCTTGGATGAAGCCCTTTTCTCCATCACAAATTCCCCATTTCTTTAACAGACTATTACTTTAGATTGATCCTGTCCTGGAAGAGTGAAAGGAATATTAGAGTGCAGTCAAAAGGCAGATGGAAAGGACAAAGAAGTAAGAGGGGAAAATAGAGGCTTACAGTGTTAACCATCTGAAAACGCACCTTAATTCATATGCTGATGTCTGGCATCTTAAGGTCTTAATATATATAGGGTAAGGAGTCTTGGAATTGCAAAGAGAAACTTGCCACTGTCAGGCGTTAGAAATACGGGGTGCAGGGGAATGTTATCTTTGAAAGAAGGGTTCTGATTTTTAGCTTAAATCCAAAATATCAATGGCAGATCGTAGAAATCTGAGAACGTACAGTGGAGCAGAGTAGACCTAAGTTGTCCCCAAAACCTGTGGAAAGACGGATTGCCTGCAGTGTGAGGAAGGAGGCAGTGGGGCGCTGAGGCTGCTCCTTCAGCGGGGGTGGAGGGAGGGACAGAAGAAGTTCAGCAACCGGGTAAAATGACGTGGGTCGGGCACCGCTTTTTTGTGCACACGGTCGGTCAGGGTGGCTTTATCTTGGTTCTGCTGTACTTTGACACCAAGGAAAAGGAAAGCAAAGCCTCAACAAGCGCCTCGCGTTAGATCAATGGAGGGCAGTACAAGGCTTTGGGCCCTTTGTCGTCGGTCACAGGCAGTCGTCAGTTGTGACTAAACTTTGATTTTATTCATCCTAGTTTCTTTAAGGAGGGTAAGCCTAACATACCTATTAATTACACAAAATGTTGGGTTTCACCTGTTTTTATTTAGAAGAGAGTTTTCTGTGAGGTTTTTAACCTGGATCCAGAATGTTTTTGAGCTGGTTACCCCTTACGAATAGCAGACCTTTTGAGGATGGCGGGGTATCTTGTGAAAGAAGGTTTGCTGTTCCAAAAATATGCCATTGGCTGCTCAGTCCAGGAGTATGCTGGGGAGGGGACTGACTTCTACTGCTTCGTATTGTCTTTACGCTCCTCTTTTTGACTGTAAGAGATGATGAGGAATTATTAACAATTACTCTACTACCTTTACAGTATTTTCACTAAGATTTCAAATGGATTATGTCATCTAGCTCGGGTTTGATCATTCAGAAAGAAGTTCAAGTGTTAAGGTTAAGACTAGTCTATAAGAAATGCAAGTTTTGTTTAATCAGTTGCTCTTTTTAAATTACAGTCCATTGAAATTTAAATATTTAATACAGACTGATATTTTGTCCGATTAATTTGGGTACCTACCAACTTTTTTATTATTTGTAGTAATGAAAACTAGCCTGAACCAATTTAAAACTGCTTTTGAAAAAAGGTGACCGTTTCCCTTGTCAAATAGTTGACTGCCAGAAGCAGCTCCCCCTGTGACTGACTTGCTTTCTCGCTGTAGGGAACAACGTCTCAGTGAACATAGAGGTGGATCCTCGGCATCCAAACATGCTCCCCGAGTGTTACTTTCTTGGGGCAGATCATGGTAAGGCAGCAGATCGACGCCGTTTGTTTCTCTTCTAGAATCTGATCTCTGGTGAGCAGACGCTAGTGTAAGCTAGGGCAGACTCCCAGGGTAAACTTTACTTAAGCAGAGTCAGGAATGAAGCTGAGTATGTGTTTGAGTAGGAGAGTTTTACACAGTAGATGCTGGGGGTTTTAACAGCCTAAATCCATAGCATGCTGCTTTGCTCTGTGAGTGACACTTTTTCCCAGTGCTTTCCTAGCACAGTTTAGAGGGAATCCTGCATCCTACAGATAATTACCCAATCATGTTTATATTTTAATATCATTTTCTTTTTAAAAAAAAAAATAAAAAATTTACTACACATCCTAATAGCATTTGGAAATATTTAAGGCTTTTATTCCATGTCCCACAGCTTTTCACCAACTTTTTAAGGTGCCTATGCTCATATCTTCAACAGTATGCTATTGGAAATATTGAAAGCTAAGAGCAGACATTGACTTACGTACCTTAAATAATTAAAAAAGCCCCAACGCCTGCCTTGCCCTTCGGTGCTGAAACACGAGAGGTCAAACTGGGTCGGGGAGCAAAGGGGGTCCTAAAGATGATGTAATTGTTTATGTACATTGTTTGCAGCGGTTAACCCTTTGAGAATTAAGCTGAACAACAATATGCACTTATGGTAAGCGTCTTTAACACTATAGATTTGAAACTTGAAATGGTATTTGCCATTCCTAGTGTTGACTTTTTTCTCCCTCTCTCCCACCTGCAGGGATCCAGAAATCAGTTTATTACAAAACTTGAAAGACCTCTTAGAAATTGATTTTCCATCTCGTGCTGTGTTAGAAAAAAACGTAAGTTGCTTTTTGTTAATGATCAGTTGTTATTTCTCAATAAGTAAAATTTAAGTGGTCACTTTGTAACTGCCAGCAAAAATAAGAGACTTAGAAGAGAGGTAATTGGATTAATATATTGTCATAAGGACTTCTGAACTTCAAGCAACAATTGTCAGAGCTTGTTAACCTTTGATTAGAGGTGCACACTTTCCTGTGGCCTTCATAGCAGTAAGGCGATTAATAACAGGCTTCGCTATTAAAAGGGAAAGAGGAAGTTCCAGAGTAGCTAATGAGATGTGGAAAATCCAAACATTCTGTTATGGATGTTGATGACTTAAGTTCTAATTAGGTAGAGCTGCTTAGAGGGGACAAGAGGCCATCCAAATACTGGTGCATTTCAAACAAACTTGGAATTAATTTTTGACAATGCTGTAAGGCTGGATTACTCGCTTTGCTTTCACTTGTGAGATTTTTAAGTCAGTATCTGACTGTGAGGTCTTATGTCTAATGTCCAAATGTAATGACAAATCATTGTGTTTAATAAAAAAGAAACAGTGAGGCCCGAGAGTATGAAAATGCTTGTCAAACTAGATGTCATTCAGTGAGAGGATAACATATAACCTGGCAACCAGTCTCACTCTTTATACCGTAATGGTGTAAACATATTGAAGGCAAAAACATTTACTAATTTCATGTAACAGAAAATGCAAAAGCAAAGACAAACGGATGAACAGGTTTTCTGTGTGACTGGCCCCATTTCTTCCTCGCGGTTGCACTGTAAGCTAAACCATGTTGTGTTCTAAGGATTTTGCTAAGGACTGTGGGATCTGCTACGCCTATCGACTCGATGGCACCACTCCCGATCAAGTGTGCGATGATCCCCGATGCGGACAACCTTTTCACCAGGCTTGCCTCTATGAGGTAAAGTAATTCATGGGACAAACTTGCTCGTTAACTCACAGATTCTAGAAAACAAGCATTGCCCGCTTCAATGTCAGCTGAAGCAAAGTCCTTTAAGGAGTGCTATGCCAGTCACTGTGCTTCCTCTTGTCGTCTAACCCACAGTTCATAAAGAAGCTCCCTGTGGAAGGGAACGTTGTGGTTATGTAGACTCTGTCTCAACACACGCCATGTCAGCTGTTGATCAAATGAACTGTTTGGAAAAAACCCTGCTAACAGATCGTTCTTAAATTTGATATGAGCCAAACGTGACTTTCAATCCACTTACTTGTCTTGCAGTGGCTACAAAGTCTTCCTTCTAGCAGACAGAGTTTTAACGTCATCTTTGGTGAATGTCCATATTGTAATAAGGTAAGGAAATCTAATGAAAGCGAGCGACTGAACAAAATAGTGTGCGGTGGCTTAGATAAAGGCAAAAACTGTAACAAAGTCAGTTGTAAAACAGCATTTGTGTTTACTATCTTCCCTTTATACATTGGAATAAAGAGAGGAAAACTTTAAATTCGCATGCATTGAATCCATCAGCATCTAACTAAAGGCTTTCTGAAACAGTATAAAGATGGCTGCACACCATTTATCAACATACTCATGTTAGAATAATTAAATACCATGCCATGTTGTATTTCATGATAATTTTTTATGTTGCCATAGCAAAGGTCCAGTTTCAAAAAAAACCCCAAAGAATCCCAATGTTTGTCATAGAAAGCAGCCTTGTACAAACAGTTTAGTGCATACGTAACTATCGAGTGCAGATTTGGAAAGTTTAAGTGAACTTGCCTTTAAAAGATACGTATTGAGAGTATGATTTTAAAAAAATCTTTTCCAAGCCACTGACACTGAAATCTTCAACGAAGAAACTGTGAGAAAAGAACTGCGTGATGAGACCACCACTGCACTTAACACTGAAGGCACTGAAACAGTGATGTCAAAGAAAATGCAAGGAAAGTAATATTAGTAGCAGAAGGACAAGTATAGCTATACTGTAGTGGTATGCGTCATCAGTAAACGCAAACCCAAGTATAATAGATAAAGAAGGACTAGTGATGGCAGAACCAATTTCTTGCAATGATCCTGGATGATCTGTAGTTAGGAGCTGATCGTGTTTCTTTTTGGATTCTGAGAATACTGCTTGGGGGTTGAATGGTGGAAATTCTCTTGCAGTGTCTTTCTGCAGGGCGGGGAAAAAAAAAAGTTATAATAAACAAGTGAGATGGGAATCAAAAAACCAGAGATGCCATCTAGGTATTTAAGTTATCCTAGAGAAAGCAATACAGTTCTTACAAAGTCTTAACTCTGCAATTTGCAGGTGTAAAAGTATATTGGATATTAAGTGTACAACTTTAGGTATGATTAAACACCTTCTAAAGAGACATATTCTATATTTATTACTGAAGTCAACTGGCTGAAACTCTTCTCTATCTTTCACTTGTTTCCAAAAAATGTTAATATATTAAGTCTTTACAGTGTTCCTGCTAATAAAGTTTTTGCCTGGAAACCCTGGCCATTACTCTGAAGTTTGATTTCCCGTTTTAATTTGTGTAAGTTTTTGCATTTCCTAGCGAAGCTAAAGTTCTCCTGATTTATCATAGATAGCATAAATACGCTAGTACTGTGGGTTTTGTTCGGGTTGGATACGGTGGTGAAAATTCATAACTGAAATTGTATTTGTCTAAGAGAAATTTCCTGTCTTCCTGGGTTTACTCCTCATTCGAATTAGTGACAGACATGTCTGTTTCTTTTCTTTTAATGAAATACAGGCCCCATCTAATAGAAAGATACCATCATGTCCAACATAAAGGCAGCTCATCTGTTTTTTCTTCTCTGCTTTTTGTTGTGTCCATATCCTTTTCTAGACGTTACTTCCTCCTTCTCTTTTCTCCATTTGTCAGCTGTCCCATAAGCACCCTCCCCTTCTTGTCCGACTCCTCTCACTCAGGTGTTCCCCTTTCAGCACAGAAATGTTTCTTGGTTTACTTTATACCCAAGCGGGAACTGCTTTCCAGCAGCATCTTACGAAGCAGACCCACTCGTTCTTCCACTGTCCCAGCTATGTGCTGGTTTTCTGGATGTACTTCCCCGAAAGGTAAAGCAGGGAGAAGGAGAACTTTCCCTCCAAGTTCTGTGTTCAGACCTTTCCCTGCATCGTCCGTTAATGGCAACAGGGTGGCCAGCCCATCTCGGCGTCCGAGTTAGAGCGAGGTGCCGGCAGTTACCTAACGGAAGCGGTTGGAATTGCTCTCCGGGGAATGCCTGACAGCCTCTCGCCACTCTCATTCCTGCAGGAACCATTGTTTCTTTTCCTCCTTTGTGCCTGAAGAATCCTCCTGAATTTTCATAACCTCAGTACTCTAAGAGTTCCTGTATAGCTTTCCTTTACCAATCTCCTAAATTATGTTTAAGGAATTAAGAGGAAGTCTGCAAAATGAAACTAATACAATCCTGCCTTTTTTTTCCTTCTCCTGTTTCTCATTTGAGTATCTTAAATGTTATCTGACATCCATTTTAACTCTCCCTTAGCATGCCTAATATTTGGTGGGTGCTGCAGAACTACTCTACATAGAGGCAGCATTATTAATTGTGTCGGAACAGCGGCCTTTCCTTTAGAAAGGCTACTCAAAACACAAATATAGCTAAATGCTAGACCAGCGATTAGTCCCATTTCTGTAAAAATGTCCTTCTCCTTCCTCCCACAAAAAGGAGGGAAGCACAAATCCCCCAGTTACTCTCCAGTGTCAAGATCTGCAATCCATACTGTGTGCTTGCTCTTCAAGTAAACGGGGGAAGTTACACCAGCTATTTTTTTTTTTTCCCTACGTCATGTTGGGAACCTAAATGTGGCTCTCCTTCCAGAGCTACTTCTTTCTTAGGACTACAGTAGCTTTCATACACAACATACAGAAGGGAAGAGATCTGGGGGAGAGATTTGCTACATTTTTGCTACTACTTTTTAAATTTTATATTTGAGAACTAAGAAGTAACACTGGAATATCTTCCTATTAGAAAATCGTATTTATTACTTTGAGTCACTGTTGCGTCAGGACTCCAGAGACTTTTTAGAATCCGTCTACCTTGCTCTCACAGCCAAAACACCTCCAAAAAGCGTGCTGCTCACCACTGTACTGCCTGGCGCTCTCAGGTACAGCTCTGCTTTTTCTGCTTCAATCTCCTAGCTTGTACCGGAGTCTCCAGGCAGTGATCAGCAGACTGCTTGAAGCAAAGAATTTTGGATTAATAACAAAGCTATCTTTAAAGGTGTATTTTTGTGCTTAGTAGAAATTGGCCTCATTTAACAAGTTATTTTTCTGTGTGAAAGAAACAAACAGGGCAGAATCTCTTTGTTAAACTCCATAGAAAAGGAGCACAGTATGAATACAAAGACGTACTTTATTCTGCATTATTTTTACTAAAACCTTGATGATTTTTTGTCATCAATTTTTTCATGTACAGTTGAAGATTAAGACTGAATACATTCATTCAACCCTTTTATGCAGCAATTACCGATAATATTTGAGGCGAGTTAGTCAACTAGTAAAATCCTCTGATTAAAGAGTCAGAATTTGAGAACTTAAATAAGAGTGCTATGAGGGTTTTCCGCTACGTAGAAAAGGAAACTACTGAAGTAAGTTTCTACCAGGAAAACAACAGGGGTCACAAAGGGAGACTGTCATTTCCCAACACTATATGCACACCGCTGCAGTACTCAGTGCACTGCTTTACTACCAAACCACAGAAAAAACTGGAGTGGCAGTTTGCTAATTGTATGACCGGGCAACTACGCACAAACTTTCAGTGTTTGTGGCAAACATCTAGTTTGCATACATTTAGTTTAGGCTTACTTTGTGGTGGTGTGGGGTTTGGTTTTGGGTTTGTGGTTTTTTTTTTTTTTTTTTAAACTCTTGTTTTTAGAAAAGCTGATCTTTCTTTCACAGTGTGCTGTGACTGTTCTAAGGTAACACCAAAAACCTCACCTTTTGGGGGCGGTCAGGCTCCGGAGTCATAGTGTAAAATTCATTTGGCTTTTCTTCGGCCTGGAATTGCCAGCGTGTTACCCGAGCATGGGCCCTGCTTAGGCAGTTACGTTCTTCCTCTTTCACCTTGTTTTGCTTCTGTTGCACTGGTTTTGGTGAAGACTTCGGTAAGTGAACCTGTTGATGTACATACAGTCATTCGGTATGCTGAAAAGAATTCAGTAACATTCAAAATTATCACGGGTACCGTTCCAATACTTGGACCTGTCAGGTTTGGGACAGGTAAGGGGAGTGCCCTGTTTGCACCAATTCCCTGGGCTTACAAGAAACTTTGAGTTTTACGTTTGGAATGATACAAGCCAGCAAGCATATGCCAACTTCTGGAGTTTGTGACGTAGCTCCTGCCTTTTTTAAGCACTTTTCTCCCTTGCCCATCCCAAAAGGCGGACACTGAGCTAACGGAGCAGACGCGCTCCCAGGAGATACTGTGCGTTACTGTAGTGCCCAAATCCTCACCTGCTGAGGCTCTGTTTGGTGAAGCATCCTGTTTAATTTACTTGGCTTTTCTTCCTCCTGGAGTTGTTTGCCTGTTACCCCAGTACAGGCTTTGTTTTGACAGATGTATTCTTCACCTTCCATCTTTTTTTGCTTCTGCTGAACTGGTTTTGGCACAGGCTTCGGTAAGCAAACCTGTTGATGCAGAGTGAACAATTTTGTACAGTAAAAAAGAGTCAGTATTTCAAAGAGAAAAATGTTCTATCTTCAGTACCAAGAACACAGAACGAGCGTGAGCTTTCATCTTTCTCAAAAGAATTGTTTTCAGCATTTTTAATTATCAATAGATGTCTTCTTCAAACAGCCTAAAGTTAGAGCTATGCTGTATTTGGGAAGTATGCTATAAAAGAAGCTTGAGGTGTACATCTCAAAACATTCACTAATAACCCTGATTGGGAATGGTGCCAGTAAGTCACCGCTCGCTCCATTAAAAAGTAGAGCCGAATGCATTTTGTATCGCTGGATCGAGTCAAATGCAAAACTCTCTAAAATAAGAGAATCACTAAGTCTTCTGACTCGGGTAATCTAATTTAAGAGTCAAGTCTTACGTTCTTTTACAGTCTTCTAAAATGGAAATGGGGAACACGCAGTGAATAGTTGCAGGAGTTAATGCAAGTTTTTTCCGGTGCTGCTCTAAGCACTAAGTATCAAATGATGTCTGGTTTTGGCTTTTGTAACTGGGAAGACAAATGTAGCCAAAACACAGGCTGTATGCCACATGCCTTTGGTACTTCTGGCACGCTAATAACTCTGTGACTGTAATGTTTGCATATGGTCCTCTATGCAGCAGCTGTATCTGAATATAGCGGCTGAGAAAGAAATAACGGGCTGCTTTTCTATACTGCAAATTAAATACATAGAGGAGATAGGAATTGCACAGCATAAATACCGTTGGAAGGACCAGTAGGCACTTTGTATATTGTTTAATCCAAAACACCTTTTAAGAATATAATCCATAGTTCTGCTCTGAGAAAATTATTAACGTTTAGAAATATAAAGGTGTATCTGTTCTGAATAACACCTGGAGCTAGTTTCAAACAGTCTACCCCAGGACAAAGCACTGTAGCTATGCCTGAGAAGCGGAGTTACACAGGTGGGGCTCCGTGCCACGCTGACAGTTACCTGGATGCAGGGGCCCAAGCTGATTTCCCTGCATCACGGCACCACGCCGCGTCACGCAGGAGCCGCTGACCTTGCTGCCAGCTACCTCCGGTACCTTCACCACGAGTACATACCTTAAATGACTACAGCACTTGTGAAAATATTTATTTTATGCCCCCAAATTATCATATTCTGCACTAATAAAAATTACAGGTTGGTATTGAAGTAACTATTTTTTTAATATGAAATCTACAAAATCTAGCAAGTAGTCAGCTGGCCTTACCAGACTTCATTCGGCCCTAATGCTAGCCCTATCACCACAGGTGAAAAAGCTGGAAATACCTATCCAGTGCCAAAAACTGCAGTAAACAAATTTGAGAATTAACACAATTAATATTTTATCACCTATGTTTGGTGTGGAATTGAAACAAAGAACCAGGATGTAGCCACTGTTACACTTTTTATGTCAGCTCAAGATGAGATTCATGTACTACAGAGGGAGCTGCATCTTAAAATTCATGTTCTGTAGCAATTCCTCTTCACATCATCTTCAAGGAGCTAGTGTACGGGATGCCCATACTGGTACTTACAGGTGTTTACTGGTGTTCAGAAGGGAATTAGCCCAAGATCACCTCTTTCCTGTGTACCAAACGGGTACAGGTGGAATCAGACAGGTCATCGGGAGTCAGATTCTGCTCATAAGCAAGAAGTGAGGAGACAGTGGATTGTTTGTAGTGGCTCCCACTGTTCTTAGGTTGCCTCTTTAATGGGAGAAGTGTTTGGTGAATAAAAGGAGAGGTGGAAAGGGAATGCAGAGGGCCGAGATGAAAAGAGTCAGACCTAGGATAACTACAGACAGTGCGTGAAGAGATGCAGTGGGAAGTGCCTGCCTGTCATCGAGCACTTTGTCAGGACTGTAGCACCAAGTGCACCAGGCCTTAAATATCCTCCACAGCCAATAACCACAGGCTGAAAAATCCGATTGGCTGAAAACAGCAACAGACTTGGAGAAAGTTCAGTTATCTGCTCTCTCTACTTGTATTTAAGTGCTCCTCAAGTCCTTTTAATAACCCTAGAAATGTCCTTTCTGCAGCTGTTTTGCAGTGAACGTTACAGGCAACTTGCGCAGGTAAGCGGCAGAACTGGCTGAAGAAACAGACTTAAGTAAAAAACAGGTGATCACTGGAGCAGTGCTAGCGTTCTTACTGTGCCAAGAAGCAAGGCACTCGACATGAAAAATTCCTCTGAAAAAGTGATGATAGGTGCCAAGATGTAGTAATATGCAGACACGCTCTCTCTCCGATCTTGTTTGTGGCCATCAAAACCAATTCTGCTTAGTCCTACGGCACGCGAGTGCTGATAACTGACGCTCCTCTTTCATGGATTTTTCATTGGGCTTGTGAACTTGCAAATAGCAAGTGCTACGGCAGCTTTTACAGCCTGGAAGTTCAGGATCATCTTTTATGCCAGTATACTGTCAAGTCTTAGGCCAGGCAATAAGAAGAAAATAGATTTACTATTCAATATCTGACTCAAGAAATCAAAGACTTCTGAACCAGAGATCCAACCGGATCAGCTGGAGATCAGTTAACAGCCTCCTGATATTTCAACGAAGTTCACAAAATGGGACAAACTTAAAAAAAAAAAAAAAAAAGGTCTCAAATTAGTGAGGACGAAGTGGTCACCACCACAGCAAGAGAAGTACTGTCACTGAAATAGCTTTTGGTTTTGTTAAAAGAAAAAAGGGATAAAAGCAGAAAAGTCAATAAAATTGCTAAAATAAGTAACTGTAATTACCGAGATCAAAACCCAGTGCCTTTTTATTAAACCTGAACTTTTGTTCTGCCTTCCATAGTACGTAAATAGTGCTGACAATTGGTTTGTGAGGCACTTGCTACAATAAAATGTAATTGTATCATGAGAGAAAGGTGACAATCAGGAGATCATGAAAAAATTACATATTCTCACTGGTGGTTAATTAGCCATGCAAAACCCCCTCAAACAGATATTCTCTTCTATTAGGAATGATTACTATGCAGGCCTACAGATGTCAATACCACAGTCATTCAAATACTTCTTTACCTACTAATTGAAGGTTGTAAAGCTCTGGTGCCAAGGTTTTGCTTCCAAAGAGCTAATTTATGACTAGAAGGATATTTTATGTCTTCAGTTGCAGCAGCTACAAAACTCAGCAAATCAGAACCATCTGTGCACTGATACTTGAATCACCATTCATCTAGCAGCCTATCAGTCACATTAGTTTGCATCCTGCATTCTTGGCTCACGTACACTTGTGATGGTCCAAAGTTCACCAGAAATATTAAAAATGAATGCTACCCTGACCCTGCCTTATTGCACGCGCATCAGAGACAGAAACGGGGCTTTTGCATACGGGGAGTTTCGAGGCAGAGGTATGACGGGACTGACATTTCACAGCAAGTCCAGCAAGACTGCTAATTACCTCAATCTCCACTTATTAAAACGTGGTTTTATTAACCGTATCGTTTCAGACTTAAAAGTACAAAAGGAAAATATAACACGATAGCCGTCAGTTTTAAAATTCCCTGTTAGTGCATCACATAGCACTGCATACCAACAACACGGTTAAATCCCAGAAAAATACCTCCTCCACATTAGTGGCAGCAGGAGTATAAAGGCAAATGACAAAGAACAGTTTGAAAGCGAGAAAATGAATTAAATGCTTTCACTAATAAAGGTAACTTTGCTTTTAATCTGGAACGAAGGAAAAACCTGGCATTCAGGCTCATCTTCAAGATGTTAGTGAACAAAGTCCTTGACTTCCCCATTATCCTGAAAGTAAATCATTCTCCACAGACCTACCGCTTTGAAGTGAGAGGCTGTAGGTCAAAAGGACTCATGACAGCTCTTCCTCCTTCAGGGTTGACATCCCACTTTTTAGCAAAGCCAGGGGAAACAGGAATTAACAAACATGGTATATTTAAGGCAAAAGAACTGCTGCGTCAGTCTCATTTTGAGATCCTAAACTATTTCCTCTTCTACAAAAGAAAAGGCAACAATCAAGCAGGAGATGTCAGAAACAATCCCAGAACCGTCTGTCTTACTTGTGACACTTTAGCAGCACGGTGATTTTGCGTGCACGCTGCAGCGGAAAATTCCAGAGGGCCGTCGTAGTGAGTTCCACTTGACTCTAGTCCGTCCAGCAGGATTTTCTTGAGCACTTGATACTTTGGCTTCTCATCATAAGCTAAGCCATAAACACATGCCAAAAACTTGGCTATTTCACCTGTGGAGCATATTTTAATGTAAATTTCACTTGATGTAGACCTAGAACTTCAGAAAGAATTGAATTCTAAAACGGATGCCAATCCTACATTGCCAGACAAGATGACACAATTTCAGCTGAAGACACGCTCAAAACACAGAGCTGACAATATCTTGTCTTTTTGAGATGAGAAAAGGACAAGATAGGCTCGGATAAACGAGCTAGCCCTGAAGTGCCACGTCTTGGTATGCACGTGCACTAATTTGTACAGTACCGAAAGCTACCTAAGTATAAAAATTAATCAAAATACTTTATCGACAAGTATTGATAGTTCTGTTTAAAATAGAAGTATTTTGTATTTGATAGATCATAACACCCCTTTAGATATTTAACTACTCTCAACAACACTATTTTAATCTGCATAGATATTATACTTGGAATGCTTTGGAAAAAAAGCAACTTTTTTTTTTTTTTTTTTTTTTTTTTTTTTTTACTTCTAATACTTGGATAAATATTGGTTTTGAGATTACATCCTAAAACAGTCTAACAGCAGCATTAATTTGCTGTCATTATCGAGTGGTACTAGAAACAGGGAAACCCCTGAATGGGCAGAAATAACACTATTAGGAAAAACATATGGGGGGGATCAAACTTTTCTCTCAGTTAAAGACCCAAGTGTATCCTAAAACCGGAGTACTACACCAGATATTAGCATCTGGTAAAATCCCAGAAGTAAAGATTTACTAAATAGGTACACACATCAAGAATATATTTTGTAATATACGATTCATTCCAACAATTCAAATACAGAAGTGTTATGAAAAGAAGCGAATAAATCAAAAATAGATGCTGACCTTTGAAGCAAGTTTGGTGTTTTCCCTGGGTTATTTGTATTTCAGTGAAAGAAGAAACATAACGACCAGACAAACCGTCCATTCATTTGCTTTTTCAAACGCTGAATACTAAGCCATAAACCTTTTGTAGACACTTGCTTACTATTTCCATACTAACAACTACTTCTGTTTTTAAGACAGTCACTGCTTCCTAACACCTTGGGTTACACATGGCTAAGATCCCTTATGTCGCTCTGTGGCATACATCGCAGACGAGACTGATCAAGATTTTTGTACTACCACACACCGGGGTTGAAAATTTAGCCCTCAATGTCTATATCATCTACTTAGTACTTGTTTATGGGATAATGCAGGAAAGCAGCAGAAGAAAAAGAGTTCCTGCAATAAAAGCATTAAGTATCCTGCGTCAGTAAGCATCAAGAATCATTTATGGCAAGTGACCAGCATTCGACAGCATCCAAAAATTTACCTTCTCTCTTTGTGGTAAACAAGCCTTTGAGCTAAAAATGCTGAAAATATAATAAACTTGTACATGAAGGGCCTGATCCAGTTCCACTGAAGTCAGAAATATTAGTTCAATTAAACTGCACCCTGAATTAATGAGTGTGACATACAATCTAACAACGAGCATGACATAACTGCTATGTTGTCAGCTAAACACAGATCCTGCAGGCTGAATTCTGTCAGGCAGGTAGCCTAAGAGTGGTTCATGCAGGCTGGATTTCAAGGAGTCGATTCAAGGATGACTTCCGCTTGCACGCTACAGTTTGCCCTAAGACTGGTGATACTGCCTGGACTCAGGCCTGGCAAAGGCATCTACCTTAAGGCGCAAAACTTAGCGATTACATTTAAGATTTTAAATCGAAGGCTTTGTTAAATTTGTGTTACTTTTACGCTGCTTCCCCCAAATAGACCAAGACATTTCAGGATTTTTTGTAACAGACTACAGAGCTACAGGGTACATACTGCAAGCACACTTACTGCAGCTGCTTCCAGAAGAATCCCATTCCATCACTGAATCTGGGAGCTCATCCATAAGTCTGAAACAACATGAGAGTGCAACAATTTAATGTGGTTTTGGAGCAGGTGATTCTTCATTTGGGATTTAGGAAGACAGCAAGTCTCAATTCCAAAGGGAGCGGACCTCCGGGATAGCTAATGATTCACAGTACTGCTTTTAAAACAAAATCTCCTCTTAGCAGCTATATTTTTAACTCTTTGGAGACTGCTGATTTCAGCAAGACCAGGCTTACAGCTAAGACTGCACTTTAAGTTTTTCTTTGCAGATGTTTTAAGCTTTCTAGAAAGAAAAAGAAAAATCTTTTGAGCTGAAATGGCTTGTTCTGATTTCAGCTTAATGATTAATACTTGTGTTTCGGAATTTGAGAAGCAGTTCTGGTCTGCCTACTAGTCATTTAGCATCAGGTTCTTTCTGCCACGTAGCTCACGGGCAGCTGGGTGACGGCTGTCAAAATTACAAGCAGGCACGGCAGGGACAAAAGGGGAGAGGGAGGTTAAATGACCTGAAGTCCCAGGCACTTCATAAACGGAAGGGCAGGGCCACAGATGTACTTTCTATCCATCTAGAAACAGAAATAGCAAAGGACACTGGAGCTCCGAATCAATCATACCCTAAAAACGAATGAAGGAACACCAGCTCTCATCTTCGTGCAGGCATGAACCGGGGCGATCTCCCAGCACCTGTAGGAACTTGCAGCTGCACAAGCCCCCTTGCCCTCAGTAAGGGAAATCTGTTAGTTCAGCCTAGCTGTCAATACTATTAAGGGAGCCCTTTTTTTTGTTCGTTTGTTTAAAGGAGCCAGAAAGGTCCACCGATCAGTAACGGGACGTGTTCTCAAAGGCATAAAGTTGGGGTACACAGGCTAATGACCTTCAATTCAGTAATCTGTTGTTTAGCATCAGAAATAGTTTTCAATTTGGGGGAAACGAAACATTTAAACACAAATATTTGCCTGTAATCTAGCTTAAATTCTAATTCAAATGGAGTCTCTCCTCCAATTATGGCATGGCATGAACATTTCTAAATTCAAATACACCCGCAGTCCTAAATATCCCCTTAGCAATGCCCAAAGCTTTGGCACCGTTGCCTCATCGCCCCAGCATGCCTGGGAGGAAAGACGAAGAACTTGTAGCGAAGGGATGAGAGGATGAGACAAGGGGCGAACAACAGAGTTTGGGGCCCTGCTCCATCTCCTGCCTTTCAATGGCTCCCCACCTTCCAGGCCCAGCCCTTCTTCCTCCCCATCCCGCGGACTCGGCAGCAAAGGACTGCCAGGCTCAGAAGTGATTCACCTGCGCTGCTTAGCGTACTTATTAACTTAGAAGCAACTGGATACACGTATATATCCGGATGTCTATTGCTGGCCTTCGAAAATAGGCACTGAAAATTAAGACAAATAAAAGGGGATGACCCGGGCTAGTTACCTAATCCCAAGAAAGGAATTCATTAGACAAACAGGTTATTTCTGATACATGGAATCTGTACCACTTTCCATGTGTTTCCTCTAAGCATCCGTTTGCTTGGCATCCTGAAAACGCTAGCGATCTAAGGGTTAACCGCAAGGGAAGAATTAGCGAAGCAGCTTGATTGATTAAATTGATTTAACATTGAATTGTATAAGTGTTACCTTGCAGGGGGTTGCGTAATGATCAGAACTTCTAAAGGAGAAATATTAAACATAACATACGATGTCAACATTTACAGATGCAATCTGTATTATCCGCAGTCTGCAGGCTAACCTTTTTCTCTGCTGAGAGCAGATGCCACACTGAATTTGCAGATTGATTTCTGTGGATCAGCTATCCCTATTGTGTACCTCTGTTGTGACTTGCCCTACTTAAAAGTTTGCTGCCTTCTCCAATTGTGATGTTACATTTATGGGTAACTGCTCTTCTGTATAGCCTTCTACAGGCTACACTGTACCACATGCAATTAACTCTCTCAAGTCCCAACTGTGAAAGCAGAGAAAGAAAACACTAATACACTCTGTTGCTCTACTAAGCTCTAAATGAGTCATGCTGGGAAAAAGGAAAGATTTTAATCAAGTTCTTTAGCATTTTGGTATTTAATTGTTTGTAACCGCAGTAGGCTTATATAACATTAAAAACCTACATAAAAACATCTGAAAAATAGGATCATATACAAAGTAACATAAATTAAATGCACATGTGGAAAAACTTCCAAGAGATGTTTGTACCATAGTGTCTACAAAGCACCCAAGAAGTTTAATGGATACACACAACAACCTTTTGTATGCACAAAAAGGCCTGCACTAATTCACAAATGTTTTCTTTAAGAAAGAGTACTACAAAAATGCACAGCAGACAAAAATGACTGTGTACTGTGCATTTGAATTTATCCTATCTCTACAGCAGCACATACATAAACATGCAGACGGGGGTATACATGCACACAGAGTACACGTTTTTAACTGCTTCTAACATCTCTCAATTAAGGAAAATTGGTTTAGGTTTTTCGTAAGGTGCTATTCTACAGGATGGAAAGCTGTCTTTTCCAGACCTGTTTTGTTAAGTGATGAGTACGTTGCAGGGTTCTAGGGTGGTGTGCACATGTGTACGTGTGTATGTCGTTTTATTTTTACTTTGTTTTTGCAGTCTGGACAGCTACAGGGTTCTTCAGGTTCTGTTCCCAGGGTAGCTTCCCACATAACCATTGCAGCATGCAGTATCCAAGGATTTCAAGGTCACCTCGTCTGGATGGGGCTAAAATGAGGGGAGAAGAGGGGGAAGGGGGGGGGAAAAAAA